GTTACAAACAATAATTTACATTTAATTAAAATATTACATAGAATGAAAAACTATCCTATTTTCTAAATATTCTTCGTTCTTCACTCCGCTCCGGTATTCCTTTTTTTCATCTGCAAAAAGAAATAAGAAAAGTCAGAAAGCATTAAAATTGAAAAAAAAGACAGTTAAAAATTGCTCATCATTAGGGGCCACTGACTGGGATCAGTTGACCCTCTCTGCAAATCACGGGATTTCTCCCGGTTCACAGAGAGGGAAGATTATTTTTATTTCATGAATGCAAATGCAAATGCATAGTTTCTAAAAAGTTTGCAAGCTGCATAGAATCTCAATGTCCAAGTCAAACCATATAGTTCAAATCCAAACTTTCTATCCAAAAGCAAAGGCTACTGTCAGAATGCCAAAAGATATCAAAGAAGTCAAAATGGTACAAGTTGCTATCAAAGCACACAAGCTGTCAAAAGGAGATGCAAGATGTATTATGCTATGCAAACATCTCAATTCATCATTTCCCATCCAGGGCCCCTTCAGAAAAGTACAACTTAAATTATATAAAATTTCTTTGCTGTACTGTAAAGAGAGGTAAAGAGAGATAAAGCAAACTCAGTTCAGGTTAGGCATGGACATCAACACAGCAGGCAAAAGAAAGAGAGAGGAATGTGCACCAATTTCATCAACTCTGCATAATAACAGTTCACAGCAGACAGTAGCAGGAGGAAAAAGATACACAAAATCAGAAAAGAGCCAACTCAGTTCAGTAACATAGGCAGCAGGCTTAGACAGTAGAGGCAGAAAAGATATACAACAAAGAGGATAATTCAGCATTGTTCAAAAATTACACAGCATAGCCAATTACTGAAATGGGAAAATGCCATGAAACCTTGTGAAAATGTCAAGCAGACTTGGGTCAAAGAGAACACCAAGGCTTTAAAAAAAAAGATTGGGCGCCAAGAGAAAAGATAGAAAAGATAATACAAACTCAGCATAAGGGAACCACATCATAAAACAGACAAGAGAACATACAAAAAAAACCTGCTACCAAGTTTAATCCAAAAAACACAAAAACCTGCAAAAACTAAGTTATCTCAAAACCAACTACTGTCATAACAAAGAACCACAACTTGCAACCTACAAAACACCATAACCTGATGTATACAACCCTGCATCAAACCACTACTGTCTCAAATCTCACATAACCAGAAACTGAGTTAAGCCAAGCTTAATCAGAACCTGCACTATACCAATAACCCCTCACCATCTTATGCTAAACACAAAAAACCTGATATACAAAACTGAGTTGAGCATAAGCATCAGTCATAACCAAAATCTCAAGCCTCAACCTTCATGCTAAACATACAAATCTCATATCCAAACTCAAGCCTCAACCTTCATGCTAAACATACAAACCTCATATCCAAACTCAAGCCTCACCATTTCATGAAACCAACATCTCAAGTATCAAACAAACACATAGGCCCTCAGATCTGAGATCATCACTGGGCACCTCAAAGCAACCATCCAGCAAAATTCTAGGCAAGCACACATAGGCAAACACACAAGCAAATACTCAGACATATCATACTCAGGCAACAAGACTCAAGGCAACGATTGTTCCAAAATATTCCACACAAACAGAAGCAAAGGCATCACAGTAGGAAAGAGGAAGATGAAGAAGTGAATACATTAGGGTTTCTCAGTGAATACCATCATCAAAAACCTAAGCAAAAAGGTAAAAGAACGAAAGTACCAGAAAGCATCAAAAGCAAGCTCCATCACCGCCACCGGGCCTCCGCCTCAACGCCTCCAGTTCCGGTCCCCTTCCTCCATCTCCCAAAATTAAGGTAGTTTTTCGTCCCCTTCTCAATCTCAAGAAAAGAAAAACAAACGATAATAACGAGTAAGATTATAACTCAGACTAAGCAAGAAGAAGAGTGAAAATTCTAAAATAGAGAAGGTGAGATCGTTACCCTGTTCGTTTAGGTTTAATCCAATCGCGGAGACGAGAGGAACCGGAGGTGGCGTTGGGTTGGCTCGGCATCACTAGGCATCACATTCAGCACGCAGGGAGGTGAGGAAGAACGAAGAAGATGAGCTTACGCACGGCGCCGCTGATTTCGTTCCCAACTGAGCCAATTGCCTAAACCCTAGTTCGTTCAGAATCCAGCCATTGGGCTTAACCCATTCATACTTCCCTAAAGCCCATTCAAAATGCCTCTTTTCTTTTTAACAACATTAATCACTAACCCTAATTAACTTACTTCATTTTTTATAAAAAAAAGAAAACACTAATCTCTTTTTTATTTTACAAAATAATGTTTGCCTTTTTTTATCTTAATTAAAATTACTTTTTATTATAAAATTAAGACATTTTTAGATAGATATTTTATACATATATTACCTTAAAAAAATTAGTTTTGTACATATCATATAAACTAAATTTGAAAATACTTTTTTCTTAATCAAAATACTTTTTATACACAAATTAAACTTAAAAACATTTTTTTGAAATACATTTGTATATATTATCTTTTCTTTTTTTTATATATACATGATTAAATTGAAGATACCTTTTTTAATTAAAATGCATTTTTGTACATATTATACATTTTTATACATAATGAAAATTGAAACCCTTTTTTATTAACATTCTTTTTTCATACATAACCAATTAAATATATTTTTCTCTAAATATCAAATTCACAAACATTTTGATTAAAATACTTTCCAATTAAAACTTAACATTTAAGCAAAACACTTCTTTTCTTTTGTATATAATTAAACATACAAAAATCAAGATTCATCTAAAAAACATTTATCTAGGTCAAAACCCTAATACGGCTCAATTTCACATTTCGCACCAGTACATAATTACACATACACAATTCACATACATATACATTTGTACACTTACACAAATACATTCATATTACCCTATACACATGTTTATCTTACATTTATATTTGATATTCATTTGATTGCGACATTCGATTTGGTTGTAAATTATTGGGTACTATAAGTCTCATCCCTTTGTACATTTATACCCCCACTCCTGGATATTATTTTGTAATAGCGTAGATTTACATTCCGCAATTTACAGTTTTCCAATTATACCATGATTAGACCTAGGGTTTGTATGTACATAAAATCAAACGCTAGATAACCTAATACAAGACAAATGCATGTAATCAATACACAATCACACTTGCACCCTCTAAGGTAATCCCACATGTTGCCTTCCAAATGGGCCATGCTTGCACGTCGAATGTCTTTGGCAAAACGAAATCAAATGATCATAAGTCCCTCGATGACGCTTTCGAAAGTCGCCTATCAAATGATCAAGTCCCTTCAAGCAAATTGCCAAAGACACTTGGCACCATTGCATTCATGGTCCATACGATGACTCGCGCCCGTCCCGAATAAACTTCCTAAACGCAAGATTGTCTACCAAATTCAATGGTAGCACAAAACTGTTAAAAGGGGTTAAAACATGACAAAAACCTTTGAGTACAATAGGGTAGACAAAAACTCTTAGTTACTTGAGATCAAACTTGCAAAAACACTTGCCTTCTTTTCAAAAACCACAATCCACAACACTTTCAAAAATCAACTCTTCAAACTTTTGAAACATCTTTTCGAAAAGATATGCACCTTTGTAAAACATTCGAGTAAAGAATTATTACAAGGTTGGCCTAAGACAAGGCATCTTTTTCCAAAAACATTTTCAAAAAGCACCCATACACACACCATTTTCAAAGCAATCGAAAAACAAGGCAAGTGATCTAAAAAACCAAGTAACTAAGAGCCCATGGATAACCATGGATGAAAAGGGTGCTAATACCTTCCCTTTTCATAATCTACCCCCCGAACCCACGAAATATCTCAAAAAGGTTTTTGCTGTGCTTTTTTAACCTTTCCTTTAGGATAAAATAAAAAGTCGGTGGCGACTCTTGCTCAACCGCACAAGTGCGAATACGAACGCAAAACACTAGTCAGTTCTCCCACCGTATCACACAAGTGAATAACAAAGTTTTCTATAATTTGTGGGCAGAGAGAAATTCTGCAGAAAATAATTGTCTTCTTTCTTTTCTTTTCTCGTAATTTGTTGTCATTGTGTGGTGATATCAATCTCGTTCATCAAGATTGATAGAAATTCATCATAGATATTTGGTGAATTTCCAACATCAAAGAGTATCACTACAGTTTGTAAAGAAGAAGAGGAAGAAGAAGAAAAATGAAACACTTCGTGAGAGAGAAAGAGAGAAAGGAAGCGAGAGAATGAGAGAAAGGACGAGAGAGAAAGAAGAAATTGAAATTTGAAATTGAGATAAATGACATACAACTAAGCAAAATGATATCATTTTGGAGGAAGCGTGCTACTGTTCTTTCAGAAAGTATTTGACAATTTAAAAATATACTTTACCATTTTGTTGTAGTTGAACTATTAAGACAAAAAAAGTTTGCAATTTGTGCGCAAATCAAAGTAAGAATGTTTGAGTTAGAATCAATAGTATGATTTGATTGCAAAAAGTAAAATTTGAACACAAAATACTCCTAAACTAAATTGATGAGGTAGAGAACAAAGAGAAAATATTAATTTAGTGTTTTCTTGAACATCTAATTTTCTTATATTATAGATATTAATTTTTTTTTTGGAAAAGAACTAAAATTAAAATTATAGATATCAAATTACATGAACATTTTTTTTAAAAAATACTAGAAATTAAATTTTGTTATTTTTATTTTCGAATAATTTATTTCTCATAATCATCTATCAATTCTTGAAACAAACTTATATTTTGGCTGAATTAATTATAGCATTTCCCCCCTAATCATCGAGTGAAACAGAATAATCGGTGTCATGTATAAAATGGGCCTAATAACACCGCTTCCCCAAATTTTCCCGCTGTTTCCTTCTATAAGAAATATTCACCTTCATTTTCCCGCCGTTTCCTTCATTTCAGTTCACCACCAAGACTCAAACGCAGAGAGAGAAAGAGAAAGAGATGAATGCTCCGATGAAGAAAAAGATCCAAAAGAAGTGCAAAATCCGAGGCTACAACATCAAACCTGAAGCCCTCGACGAGATCCTCTCCTTCGTCACTCGATTCGAACCCACCGAACAAGAAGAAGCCATCGATCTCGTCCTCGAGAACCTTGAACACGAATCTGGTAACCTCTCTCTCTCTCTCTCTCTCTCTCTCTCTCCGTAAATCTATTTCTCAAATTTTCTATTCAATTTATTGTTTATGTAACACTTTTTTGTGTAATCGCAGTCAAATCTACAGTAATTGATGTGGAGCCAGTTCAACGAGTGTTGAACTTGCTATTGGAAGCCGACGCGGCGGAGGAAACTGTTGAAACCTTCGCTTCATCTTCTTCTGCTATTGCCGTCATTGATGTGTTTGATGTTCTTAGATATAAATATGACGCTATCAGAAGGAATTTCTACCTGTAGGTTTTTGGTTCTTTGAGTTTTTTCTTTCTTTCTTTCTTGATTTTTTTTGTATTTGTTAATCAATATTCCTGCAATTGATCTGTGAATGTTATTGAATCCTACTTGATTTAGTAATTTAGGGCAAGCGTAATTAGAAGAAAAAATGTTACATTAGTTATCTGGTAATTGAATTTTATTTAGTGAAAAATGTTACATTAGTTATCTGGTAATTGAATTTTATTTAGGGAAAATTACCCACAGAAGAAGCTTGGTAAGTCACGATAAAATATTTACCATAAAAATAGTAATGTTCTGTTCTTCATTGTTCATATAACTTTTATTTGAGAGCCTAGGAAGTGCCAAAAGTGTCAATGATCGGTCAAGATCCAAGAGATTTTGATACCACTTATCCATCCAAAACTTTTAGGCAATGAGAGTATGGGTATAAATCCAACATTTCCTCTATTTTTAGTCACTGTGGGACTTCACCGCTCACACTTGAATCACAATAATTTTCTATGTGGAATTCAGTGATTTGTAATTTTCCCAAGTTTCAATACCACTAGATTTGATGAATTTAGGTTTTATTGTAATTTTGCTTATGGATCAGTTAAAAATACTAAAGTAGGATAAGTTAGTATCTTTTTACATTGTGTAAGAAACATGTCAATAGTTAAGCTATTTGTTGGAAATTTGAGTTGGCTTTTCATACTTGGTTTTGTTTATCATATATCATCAACATAGGACCATTTTTATATTTTGTGATTATTTTATAGGTACCCAGGAAGCTCACCTCTTCACGGAGATGCAGCAGCCAAATCTGCATTGTACAGGGATAGGTTTATGTTGTTGTCCCAGAGGCTTTCTCGTCACCAAGATTTTACGAAACCTGCTTTTGAGTCTGAACTTTCCCAATTCAGGAGTCGTGAGGTACTGCTGAATGCTCTAACTGACCATGAACATAGAATGATGTTGCCCAATGTTTAGCAGTTTTGTGATTCAAGTAGTGTTTTTAGGAGGATTAATATATGTAATATAATGTAATGCCGTACTGTTTTTGTCAGATATCTCCTATTCAATCTCTAGTTGGGCAAAAAGGTAGACGATGGGTAATGGGAGTAATATCTCAGCTGGAGGATGGGCATTTTTACTTGGAAGACCTTACCGCTTCAGTTAAAATCAGTTTATCTGATGCTATATCCTTTTGTGCTTTGACAAATGTTACTTTATGTTGTCGCGAGAACTCCATAATATTGTTGAATGTTTTATCACATAGTTTTTGTTGGGGATAAAACACTAATAAATGAGTTTTAAAATAATGCTTGCTTCAGCTAATTAAATGCACTCTTTTAAGTGTCATTTATAACTTATAAATATTTTTTTTAGAGTTTCTTTTGTTTTTTGCCTGAAATGTTCCAAGTCAGGGATGGGTAAGGTTGCTTGCATCTTGTTAGTTCATGCCACGTTATGTTAGTATGATAACCTAATTGATTGAAGGATTTGGTAATTAGTGCTTAGAATACATTTGACAACTTTAACAGTTCAAAGTGTATGCTAAAGACATATATTCTTGTGCATAGTTGTCTTTTCATAATTTTTATCAATGTGTATGCTATAACTTGTATAGATGTTCAAGTTTCTTGTAAGCTAAATACATGAGCATTAGTTTCTTTAACTAGCCATACAAGATTACTACGGGATTCTTCTTAGAGAACACCATAGTTGTGGCTGAAGGCGAGATGGTATCTGCAGAGGGCATTTTTCAGGTTCTTGTAAACACTTCATTCGTGATATCTGCTCCATGTTCTCTTAATTTTATAAAACACGTATATCCAAATATTTGATTTGTATGCTTTTTTATTCATAAACCCGGGTTATTGTGGATGAATTTCACTATAGTACAAATTGTATGACTTCTAATTTTTATAAAAAATTATGACTTCTATTTTGCTTTACTTTGAAGGCCACTTTATTAATAATAAGATCATTAATGAGTTAGTCACAACTTTTATGTTTAGTTTTGCCTGGCAACATCTCTTGGTTGTCCTACAGTGATTGTGTTAGGTACCTAAGAATGAAGACTCTTTATTAAAAAAATAGGAAATAACATGAGAGCAAGCTCTCCTCAAGGGTTTCCCCTTCACAATAGAGTTGCTAATCTATTCACAAATGATTAACAATATTCAATGATCATCAACTTTACATTGTATTCTCCTATTTATACAAATAGTCATAAACAAGCTCAACTTACGAACCAACTAACTAATATGTAATTTAACTTTAGAAGGAACGGAATCACTAGTGTGCATTAGTTCTTTTTATGCTTTAGGAATCTAACTCGGTACCCCGGAGTTTACAACACTCACACACCCTATGCGCCAACCACTTGTGCTAGTCCTTGTTTGTACTTGTGTGCAGTAGTTCGGCATGTTATGTGAGAATCATTGTGTATAATGTATATGTTCTTGCACGAACTCAGGCTTATAGTTCTTTATTAATCTTTTAGAGGGAGAGTTATAGTAAAAGATAAACATGCTTGAGACAAGAAAGCAATGGTTTATCAAATTTATGATTATGGGTTTAAAAACTTAATAATGTATTCGAATTTCACATATATATGGGATATGTCCCGGAAGCCTCAAACCTGAAAATTATAGGTTTTGTACTTAAAAGTTCAAAGCTTTGCTATTTTTTTATGTTTTTTTTTTTTGCACGTGGCTCATTTTACTAGCCTTTTTCCATCCTCTCTTCAATATATGGATAATTGGTGCATTTTTACCTGCAGATTTATTCATGTGGATTTCCTCCACCAGAGGATAGAGATAAATCACTTCAAGTGCTTGCAGGCCATAACTTTTTTGGTGGTTGCACTTTTACAAAAGAAGAAACGGTATCCGTATTACTCCCTCCTCAAATTCACTATTTAATAGTCACATGTATTTTTATTGGTCTGTACTCCATGAGAATTAATTGTCCTTTACCTATACCATACATAGATCAGACAGGAAGAGATGGAGAAAAGAGCAGTCAATGACATGTTTGTCATACTATCTGATATTTTTGTAGACAAAGAAGAGGTGATTTTGAAATGTCAATTTGTTCTCTTTTTTCTTTTGACTTTCTCACTTTTATAAAAGTGTAGCTTGATGTATTGATGTTGTTTCTCCGTAGAGTAGGCTATGGGAAAGCTAGAGATTGTTCTAGATGGTTTTGAGAGTGAGGAAGTCGTTCCTTCCTTATTTGTTTTCATGGGAGACTTCTGTTCTGTGCCATATAGCCAAGCATCAGGCCCTTTCTCGATCCTGAGGTGAGTTCCACTTGTGCTGTTATACCGATAGTTTATAAATATGAAACTTGAAACACTTAATCACATTAGGTTACGTGTCAATAATTATAATTAGTTCAAACATTTCATTTTCTATTGCTTAAGAATAGTTTATTGTTATGTGAAGATATTAGGGACTTTGATATGCAGGTTGCAGTTTGGCAGGCTAGGGAAAATTATTGCAGCCCGTCCAAGATTAAAAGAGAACAGTCGATTTCTTTTTATTCCAGGTCCTGGTGATATAGGTATTATATTAAATTGATGATTTCTTATGCTTCTCACTTTCATCTACTAGCATGATATATCATTTTCAGTGTATTTTCAGGTCCTTCAACAGTTCTTCCTAGGTGTAGATTACCTAAATGTTTAACTGAGGAGTTCCAAAAGTATATTCCCGAAGCCATATTTTCAAGCAATCCATGCAGGTTAACATTATATTTAAATAGGATTGCATGGGAAATCTTCATCGTCTATACTTTTGTGTTTTCTAGTTGTTATGGAAACTGGTTGTTCTTACAAACTCATATCTGTTTGGCTACAGGGTAAAATTCTATACACAAGAAATTGTGTTTTTCCGCCAGGATCAGCTGTATAGCATGAGTCGTTCTTCTCTAGTGCCACCTTCTGTGACAGAAACTACTGATCCTTTTCAGCATGTAATTTGTCTCTTACCTGTGTTTTCTGCTTAATTAATTATTACCTTTTGGATTTTAGAAAAACAAAAATTCATTGGTTGTGTTAAAACTGCAGTTTGTTGCCACAATAACCCACCAGAGTCATCTCTGCCCCCTACCTCTAACTAAACAGCCTATCATATGGAATTATGACCATGGCCTTGATTTATATCCAACTCCGCACACGGTACTGTTTATACTTAAATTGTTTCTTTTTCCTTTTTGTATAATCTAACAGATTCTTTTATCTTCACTTTCTATTCTACTTGGTATTTGACATCTCAATATCTTGAAATAATTTGGTATAACCATTCATGATGCGAAGACAGTATTATGGTCTTGAACATAAAATAAATATTACTTGTTATTCTTCGCCACTCAGACTCCGGAAAGAATGTTCTGATGCTGATTCTGCTGTTGTGATTGCAGATAGTCTTAGGAGAGAGAAGTCCACAGAAGGCTTTTAAATACACAGGAACCACTTGTTTTAATACTGGATCCTTCTCGATGGATAGCACATTTGTAGTGTACCGTCCTTGCTCTCAGGAAGTTGAATTGTCATCCTTGTGAACTGAATATGGTTCTTTTTGGTTCTCATCCTCTAATTATCAGCATGTGTGGAACATGCCCGCTTCACTGTTATTTATCAGATATAAAAGCGAGGCAATGAATGGAGCAGGGAATATGGTATTTCTGCTTTTTGGGAGGGTTGAAGTCACAACCATCTTGATTTTATCTAACTTGATTACTTTTCAAGCTGTGATAATCGTTAGTATAGTAGGAATGTTATTAGTCTAGTTGAGGAGGTAGTCTATTTTTAATTTAGATAATATTTATGTGAAATATCAGAAAAACTGTTTTTTTTTTATAATGCTATACTACAATTATTATTGAAATATCAACTAAGCTTTCCTGATTTAGTAAGAGATGTCAAATAGCAAAGATGCTAACTTGTCGAATTCAACAATTTCCATGACTGTTATTCGGTTTGGTTTTCGATTTAACTGATCAACCTGAACAAAAGTTTCAGAGTTTTAAAATTATTATTCTAAGATAAACTCTTGTAGAACTACAAGGACATGAATACTTTCCTACTAAACCCAGCCACCAATTTCTGGTGTTGAAACAATAGTAAATATCTTTTAGTCGAAGGGTGGTAAGTAGAATAAAGTTGAGTTTTCAGTGATCCCTTTTGTGTCAGTTCTTAGACAATAAATCTCGAATTCTCATTATCTACCAAATTCTAAAGTGTGTTTGATGTTTGAAAAAGAATTGACACTTGCATTAGCATCCTTATTTGCTTCCTCAGGAAAAAAGATGCCCTGTACATCTCTCTAAACGCTACCAACACATCTTCTAGGCAATCCATGTTCACAATACTGATTATTCTATATCTTCAATTCTTCATAAGCAACAAGAACACAAATAAGATAAACATATACTTGGTGGCAAGAGAATTAACCACATAAACCCTAATCAAAAGTATGCTTTTGAATTTTGATAACATTCAAGTAAGTGATCCAGTTTTTATTATTATTGGTGACCTTCACCAGATTACTTAAAATTGAACAATTTGATAGCCTTTCATTTTTTTTTATCAATACGAGATCGCTGAATGTTGACTTATTCGGCAGTGTTTCACCGATTTACTTAAGATAAGAGTGAATGATTAGGGATTCTGTATTTTACCTCACTGGACTACTTATGTTTGAGTGATTCGTTGAATTTTTTTCTTTCGAATTTGGTTATATTTGTGTTTCAAAAATATAATTTTACTAGTGGTGCGTAGTCATGGACATGATGGTAGGATTATTTAGCATGGACATATAAAAAAGAGACTTCCGAGCCAAACAAACGATGAATACACAACAACAAGATAAACAAAGTGCATATGGGGAGCATCAACACTATTTTTCAGAAGGGTCGCGTCTCTTCTAGTATGGTACATGCATTATATTATTCGTCGATTAGACGATTATGGCACGTCTATGTGAGTAATTCATTTTTATTTGTTTTAATAATCTTAAATTTTAATAATTATTTATATTTTATTATGCATACTTTAAATTATTTTCAAGAGCGATACCTGAAGAAGGAATTAAAGGTTGCATCACATGAGAAGAAATCGTTGGACTATGTCCCACTGTATCTCCCACCTTTGATACAAGGTTAGGTAGAAGGTTGTGGTCTAACTTCATTCCAAAGAACTAGTTTAAGGATTGTTGATCCCAATCTTATGTCATTATTTGTGGAGAGGTGACATCCAAACACATCATCATTTCATTTGACATTTGGTGAAATGATGATTACTCTTAATGATGCTGCATGCCTACTTCACTTTCCAATTAGAGACGATTTCTACGATCATCTAGCAGATATAAACGAAGAAGGTGTTATTGGTCTTGCTATAAAGTTATTGAGAATCACCATAGAGAAGGCTACACAAAAGACGCATACTTATATGGGTTCACATTACAGGCTAGAGTGGATGCATACTCTATTTAAGAGGTACCGAGATCTTAGTCAATTCAACTATGCTTCAAGAGCTTATTGGTTGTTGCTGGTCGGGTGCACTATTTTTGCAGAAAAGAGTTTTACTCTTGTAGATGTATAATGTCTACCTCTATTTAGAAATTTATCAACCTGCGATAGATATAGTTGAGGTGGAACTGCCTTGGTCACTCTATACATGATTTTAGGAGACGTGTCTAAGTTTACTTGTAAGCAGCTCAGCGGATACGCCACTCTAATACATGTATTTTTATTTATTTATATTTTTTTTATTATTCATATTATTAATATTGTAACATTGTTGAGTTCATGAGTATTTTTCAAATGTTAGTAAGTGAAAAGAGATTTGGATTTCTAATAGAAATGTTGGACTCACTCGAGTTATTAATTGGACATATTAGTAAAAGACATGAAGGTTGACCAATTTAGGAGTGTGTTGGATAAATTGACACCTTATGATGTCATATGGCGTCCATTCGAGACTCACAAACACATTAAGCCTTTTGATAATATATATCTATACAAAGATTGTCTTCGCTGGTGTGACATAACTATTCCCTACTTGCTCGATAGGTACTTACGAAAATTTACTTCTAGACACTTTATACATCCTCCACTCCCAATTATAACACATTTTATGGTGGATGTTGAGTGGATGAGTCACCATTTTAACATTCATGAGATTGTTGGTCCGACAATTGTGGCTAACACTCCATATGAAATTAATGATAAATACATATGATATTATAGGGCGTCACATTCTCATTTGATACCACCCCTTCATGATGTACAAAGAGTCGTGCATGTTCCAGACTATGATGCAAGACCTCAAATACGAGGTTATCAGAGATTTCTAACTCACTTCAACATCATATTTAGCAAGTAAATGCCGATGAAGACGACCCCGAGTTTAAATACATATTTCGAGTATTACACTTAGCTTAGAATGGATTATTAAATTATTTGTTTAAGTATTATTGACATTATATATTATTATTTTGAGACATATACAATTATTTAGAAACTTATTTTGAGACATTAATTTTGATATTTATGTATTATATGTCTATAACATCTAATATTATATAGCGTCAATAAAATCTAACAAAGTATAACATGTATACAGTTATTCTAAGCTAAAATTGTTTTGACACTACATGTGTATGTTGCCAATATTTTTGTTGTCCAATGTCCTAACATCTAAAATGTTACACTTAGGAAACGGATTTCTTCTTATCTAATGTGATTTTAGGCAACGAAAACTCTTGCTTCATTTTTATCTGATTAAAAAAATAAGGTCTAAATTATTATTTTAAATAAAACTAAATAATTATCTTAACAAAAGTAAGTAATTATAACTACTTCGACCCAATGAATTTGACAAAACCAATGCAATAAATGGTGACGGTATGTGAATGTGAAGTTGTCATAAAAAAGAAAGTCAACCTAAGATACTCTAAAGAGACAAGAATGAGATTTTACCATTTTTCTATCACATAACTCATATCTGGCATTGTCATAAATTTCTCTTGTGACCGAGGACCTAAACATGACATCATCAAAGATTCGCTCACTTTTTATAAATGTTCTTTGAATAACTTCTATTTGAGACTTTGTCTATCTCGTATTTAATTATCTCAGTCTCAACAGACTATGGACCAACAATCCATCCTCGCCATATCCATGCAATGATGCAATGACTTTAACTCTACAATTTTCATTTGTTTCAACATCAACTATGTCATCAATATATGGTCAAAATTATTCAAGAAATTGAATCATGAATTGTTTTTGAGATGATTGATTCAAAGAAGTTTGGGATAGATGTTTACATGACCTTTTTGATGATATACAAGAATCATAATATGTTTGGTCAACATGCTCATGATATTAAGGGTCTTGATACATATCATATCCCATTTGTTTCTTCCTTTTCTTCTTCACCCCTTCTTTGGATTTTAACTTTTGAGGCGATGTGGCACATTGAACTCATAATAAGATAAGCAATTTCACACACCCTATATTTTAATGTTCTTTTCCCTACAACATTCACCCGAACTTTCTCTACATGTCCACATTTGGTCCATCTTTCGTGTCTACCTCTTGTTGATATTCCATGCTTAATTTACTCCACTGGATATGAACATCATCTATTGGTATTGAATCACCACCCAGCGATTATCTTCTTAACTCGCAAGAGAAATGCAACTCATATGATGTTCTAAGAGTACACCTACAAATTTGAGTGTTTGTTTGAACATAATCAACCCTATGGAACTCTTTGCCAATGCGTTTCAAAGTAGATCTTGATACTGATCCATGATGTTTCCCGTAAAATAGATTGAAATGTGCAAGCTCAACTTCATAAAAACTCTTCTAAAAGAAGCTTTAATGCAACCTAATTGTAACTTCATGTTGTTATTCATACCCTCCTAATATTTACACAAGTCATCCATATTGTTCTTAAACATCTGCTTTAATTTTCAATGAGTTGACTCGACCTTAAAATGAAAAATAAATATCAAATAAACAGAAATTCAAAGTAATACAAACTATAAATAGTGATCTTAGTGTTACCTAAGCTCAATATTCAGTTGATTCATGCTCCAACAAATCTATGTCTATGAGAAATCAACCATGTGTCTTTCACATAATCAATATATTGACTATAATCAACACATGTTTTGTCTAGTTGATGCATACACTAATGGTACTTCACCTCATTACTACTCCATACAAGACCAGTCCACAGTACATTTATCATATCTTGTATATTATTCATAATATATTGCATGTATTTTGAATCAACATTTTTGTTTATGTGAAATCGACAAAGTAAATTAACCGTATTTGAAACACAACTTCAATTGCTTTCATCAAAGCAAGATCTCTGGTCAAAATCACTCGTGGACGCAATCCTTCCTTAATAAACAATTGTTTTACCTTATGCAATACCCAACAAAAATTTCTGGTCTACTCAGCTTCTTTATAGGCAAATGCAACTAAAAATGTTAACTTAGTTGACATCATACCAACAATTTTAAACAGTGGTTGTGTGT